TGGCACACCAGCCATTAATGAGGACGAGGGCAAAGACTTACCCAACTCCCATAATCCCTTTGGTCCTTCCAAACAAGAAGAAGAAGTAAAGCAGACTAATGTAGGGAATAACACTAAACCTGTTTCCCCTATTTCCCTTGATGCGATTGCATACAAAATAGAAATAGTTAGTTCTGACTTTTCGCCCAAAGTAGTTGACTGTTATGGCCGCAAACAAATCCCCTTATTTGCCTCCACTAGACTTGGTATGTGAAAGCCAGACCAGGGCGGAGATAACAGATAAGGAGGATAGTTCTCTTAAGTTCTTGACGACCTTAGAGACAGTGAGTAAACAGGACATTGCTGCAAGTCCTGTGCACTCTGATACTGGACAGACAGAAATGTTTGCCATTGATGAAGAAGAAGGTACTTCTTGTGTGCAGGGAGACAAATTGTCTCTATCCTGTACAGCTGGGGCGACAGGGATACTTCTGATGAAGGACCCTGAAGCGGAACAAGCCATAAATAGTAGGGAACCCCAACATTCTGGTCTTGTATTACTCTTCGCTTCGAAGGAAGTGACAGGGGTATCTCAGCTGATAGTGGAAACTTCATTGCGAAGAAATGCCACTTTACTGTCTGCAGGAAACCCTGAGTTTCCTAATGATTTGACTGTACCCCCTGACTTGATTTCGTGCTCTGATTCTGGACTAATCTTAATGAAAGAGAATTCCACCCTGACAATTTGTAAAGGCAAGAACAGGATGCACCGAGGAGGAAACCAGTGGACACTCCTTCAAGAAATCGTCAGTGGTCAGTTGCACTCACGGCATGCTGTCATGATGAGTGACTATATCCCTCAATTTGAGAGGAGATTAGTGACAGATTTTTTCAGGATCTGTAGATGTAGGAAAAGAAAATCCTACCTGACTACAACTCATCCTTTTCGGAGAGCACTTCAGGCCCTCCCTATGCTAATAGGGCGTGGCGAAGCGAGGAAATGGACAGGGACTGTCAGTCAACGATGTCGAGGAATCCCATTGTTGAAGCGGAGATCGATTCTTATCCTGTGGGAGAAGAAACCTCCAGATAAATGGATATTACTGAGCGGCTGCTCAGAATACCCGCATGATTCTAGGACTAAGGACTTAGCCTGGAATGAGGGACAATTGGTGACTGTACATCGATGCAGGACATCACGATTCCACAAGGAATACTGGAACAATACTGGAGATGACAGGTTGGACTAACCTTCTTGGGAATCACTGAGTGTCGTAGAATTGGTCTTAAGCGGGCTTCGACCAACTTAACGGAGGGCCTGTCACGATACGATCTCAGTGATTCCAGAAGTTAGTACTTGTAATAAGTTCTTCTGGTTATTGAGAGACAAGAGACTATGCCCTTAAACCAAATGTTACTTTAAACCGTATTGATTTAAACGTTTCCAGTCCTTAGTCCAGACAAAGCGACTGAACCTTGGGTAATATTACCTAAAACTTTACACTGTAGCTAGGAATTCTATTCTCATGCCAGTGTCAGAATGTTATCTCCTGACCAGACTGTAGAGACTGAGCGGGGCCCTTTTGAACAGGGGAATTGAGTAGACGCTGGACATTGTGGAGCCGGGAGGTCGGAGTTTAACACGTCAGTGTAATTCTGGAGAGAACAGGTGTTTGGCAATTAGGAATGTTTTATCTTGATCTTGGTCACGTAGGAAACACAATGGCTTTACTGACCGTCTTTCACACCAGCCAGTTAGATTCGGTGTAAACTAGATTGGGGCACTTAAGAATGTTTGCTCTAGGGATGTCAGTCCAGAATTGACTGACAGGCCACTTGTTAGCTAATGTGATTTGATAGGTACTCCGGAGGCGGAGCTTAAGCCATCATCTTGAGGGTTGGGTAAAAGCTAAGTAAAGGGAGGAGTTTAACTTGGACAATAGATTGATACTTATACTTCGAGCCTGTGGAATTCCCGTCATTAATCGCAGCCTGCCGGCAAACAAACACAGGTCGACGTAAAGGTATATTTTACTGTCGTACTCTGGTTTGGCGATAGATGGAAAAGTTCCCAGGTGAATATTAATTTTAATCTTGTATACTTAGGTTAGGGAGTTAAGCTTAGTCTATACTACCTTTTCCTAATTTGTCTGCACATTCTGCTTGAAATAGTTCTTTGTGAATATTCAGTATCTCAGTTAGGGAACTGCTAAACTATTCCTATTTCTTGTATGTTTGTGTCACATGTTTTTCAGTGTATGTTTTCATGTGTATAAAATAAGATGTGAACCATGACATTTGCTATAATGAAATGTAATTATATTGTTTCCATGATCAGCCAAAATATGAGTTTGGACTGTGGGAAATGATGCCCAAATATGTGCAGGGATGCTGCTACGTTTTGTGTGCCCACCATGTGCTCACTTAATGTGTTCACCTGAACAGGGGATTTATAACCCCAGGGGAAGAATGATGGGTGTACAGTATTTACTGTCACTGAAAGATAATATTCAGGACAGCGTGCACATATAAATTGTTTGCGTTTTCAGCACATAACCTGCTCCACGTGGTCATGTAATATCAATGTCAGCCAGTTGGAAGTCTGAGTGATGACGGACAACAGACTTAGAAAGTCAACTATCATGACATAGCATTTGAGAGGGAAGGCAGGATATGTGACGCCCATGTAAGACAAAAGACCTTCAGACTAGACTGGAGAGGATGTGGAATATGAGGAGGAGTGATGGGCTATATCTTATTATTATATGTTGTATTAATTGATACATGTATTCTTAGTGTAAGTCAAGATACTACACGTATGTGTTTTGTTTCCATGATTACAGCGCCCATGTGACGATCAGTCCATGAAGTAGCCTACATTGTGTTAGACTCGGCCAGCTGGGAACGAGGTGGAGAACGAGGTGGAGAACGATGTGGAGAACGAGGTGGGGATGAAGTGGAGAATAAGCTGAAACAGGCAGACAACAGGCAAGGAAGAGTTGGACAAGCTTGACAGTTCCTCACGGCTGTCAGAGGCTTATAAGTTGAGTTAACCCCTTTATGTTAACCTATTATCATCATTATCATACCACTCTAAACCCCGAGCTGTTTGTCTCGCTGAAGCGTATCACTTATCACGTTAACCAGTCACTGTTTGTGTAAATCAACAAACTGGTAATTTCATTGTAGTAAATAAAGCTGTATGTCAAGTTTTAAACTACATAGTTTGTTAAATTCCAAATGTCTGTTCTTACATGTTTAATTAAACTGTTAGGATAGAATACCATTTGGTGGGGGCTCAAATAATATAATAATTCTTTAATTATTCATAATAACACCGGGAGAAGGTAGATGACGGAGGAATCACTTGCCCTGTCTAATAATTCATTTAGTATGATAGACATCTAAAATTCCTTTGCTTCTCTTGTGGGTACCAAGTTCAGCTAATGTTAAAGTACTTAACGAGCCAATATGGTTGTTTTCTTGGGTATCCAGGACTTTATCTGAGAGCAACATAGCTCAGATTTTGGTTCAGATTTGGAAGTAATGTGTTGAGAGGGACATCCCTACTCAATCTGGTGATGCACACAAATGTCGCTTGAGAGGAACATCGGAGCCGTGACTTTCATTACATTATAAACATTGTTGGTCTAAACTGTCATCTGTCGCTGGTCTAGCACTGTACAACTGTCATCTGTCGCTAGTCTAGCACTGTACAACTGTCATCTGTCGCTGGTCTAGCACTGTACAACTGTCATCTGTCGCTGTCTAGCACTGTACAACTGTCATCTGTCGCTGGTCTAGCACTGTACAACTGTCATCTGTCGCTGGTCTAGCACTGTACAACTGTCATCTGTCGCTGGTCTAGCACTGTATAACTGTCATCTGTCGCTGGTCTAGCACTGTACAAATGTCATCTGTCGCTGGTCTAGCACTGTACAACAGTCATCTGTCGCTGGTCTAGCACTGTACAACTGTCATCTGTCGCTGGTCTAGCACTGTACAAATGTCATCTGTCGCTGGTCTAGCACTGTACAACTGTCATCTGTCGCTGGTCTAGCACTGTACAAATGTCATCTGTCGCTGGTCTAGCACTGTACAAATGTCATCTGTCGCTGGTCTAGCACTGTACAACTGTCATCTGTCGCTGGTCTAGCACTGTACAAATGTCATCTGTCGCTGGTCTAGCACTGTACAAATGTCATCTGTCGCTGGTCTAGCACTGTACAACTGTCATCTGTCGCTGGTCTAGCACTGCACAGGTGTCATATCTGTAGCTGGTCTAGCCCTGTACAACTGTCATCTGTCGCTGGTCAAGCACTGTACAACTGTCATCTATCGATGGTCTAGCACTGTACAACTGTCATCTGTCGCTGGTCTAGCACTGTACAACTGTCATCTATCGCTGGCATAGCACTGTACAACTGTCATCTGTCGCTGGTCTAGCCCTGTACAACAGTCATCTACCGCTGGTCTAGTACTGTACAACTGTCATCTGTCGCTGGTCTAGCACTGTACAACTGTCATCTGTCGATGGTCTAGCCCTGTACAACTGTCATCTGTCGCTGGTCTAGCACTGTATAACTGTCATCTGTCGCTGGTCTAGCACTGTACAAATGTCATCTGTCGCTGGTCTAGCACTGTACAACTGTCATCTATCGCTGGTCTAGCACTGTACAACTGTCATCTGTCGCTGGTCTAGCACGCTACAGCTGTCATTTATCGCTGGTCTAGCACTGTACAACTGTCATCTATCGCTGGTCTAGCACTGTAGAACTGTCATCTTTCGCTGGTCTAGAACTGTACAACTGTTATCTATCGCTGGTCCAGCACTGTACAATTGTCATTTGTAGCTACTCTTTGACCTGAGCACCACCAGTGGGGACAGGATCATTTACTTGACCATTACCGATGTGCCACTGGCATGAAATACGTCCCATTAATTGTTTGTGTAATCAACTGTACACAGCCAATATTTAACACTGACAATTGTTTACAAGGATATCAGTTTGTTGACTCACCAGTGTTTTCAAGAGTGTCCCCTTTTCTGCCTCACCAGCCAACACTTGGAGGCAGTTGATAAGGTAGTTGACCATGAACAAGATGGCTATGTTGAGAGACAGGCTGTGCCAGAAGATGATGAACGTGAAGCCTAGACCGGAAGCAAAGAGCTGTCTCAAAACCCCAGCTCGTGACCCACCCATAGGGATGTATATGTGGGTCTTGGTAAAATTGTATAAACCTACATCAAAGTACTTCCAGATGTCTGCGAATGAGTAGACCCAACTGAGACATCGTGGTCTCGCCACCGGAGAAAGGCCGTCAAATCGACAAATCTGAGACGCTGATCCATAGAAGACGACATACTTCATCATGAAATACTGGTTGTGCCAAAAGCCTAGACCCGCCACTGCCGAATATGTCGCCTGTTCAAATAGAGCTGGATTGCTGGCAATGGCGTTGTGGTAGAGGAAGTGTACCTGGAACTCCAGAAAGACGAACCAGAACGCTATTCGAAGTAGTTGTTTCAAAATGTCGCAAGTATCTGGAGAGAAATGTTGGGAGAACATTGCTTGTTTAATATCTCTGTGGAAGCCTCTGTAGATTAGAATAGGACCAAATTCCAAGGTTGGCCAGTAGAAACAGTATAATAGCAGATCACACAGAGAGGGGTCAATGTCCAGTGGACCTGTTTCTGGGACTTGGGTCAGGTTAGTGGCTTCGTGGTTTTTAATCATTGCCATGTTCTCTTGGTCAGTGGGATTATTCTGACCACCACTGGAGCCTGCAGATGAAAGTGACTGTTCCAAAGGACCGACTTGTGCTCGTGCCGATTGAGATGCTCGTGCCGCTTGAGATGCTCGTGCCACTTGAGATGCTCGTGCCGATTGAGATGCTCGTGCCGCTTGAGATGCTCGATATTTGGCCTTCTCAAGGCCGAAGCTGACGATACGAATCTTGATGAAACCGGCGATGAACGCAAAATGACTGTAGCCTATATACCAAGTCAGCCAGGTGACCTCCATCTGTAGAGGATGTTCAGTGTAAAAGTGTGAGATCCTGTCATCTAATGGCCCCAGTTATGGACATCCTGTCATCTAATGATCGGAGATGTGGACATCCTTTCATCTAATGACTAGAGTTCGGGACATCCTGCCATCTAATGACCGGAGTTGTAGACTTCCTGTCATCGAAAGATTAGAGTTAGAGACATCCTATCATCTAATGACTAGAGTTCAAGACATCCTGCCATCTAATGACCAGAGTTGTAGACTTCCTGGCATCTAAAGATTAGAGTTAGGGACATCCTATCATCTAATGATTAGAGTTCGGGACATCCAGTCATCTAATGACCAGAGTTGTAGACTTCCTGTCATCTAATGACCAGAGCTGTAGACTTCCTGTCATCTAAAGATTAGAGTTAGGGACATCCTATCAACTAATGACTAGAGTTCGGGACATCCAGTCATCTAATGACCAGAGTTGTAGACTTCCTGTCATCTAATGACCAGAGTTGTAGACTTCCTGTCATCTAATGACCAGAGTTGTAGACTTCCTGTCATCTAAAGATTAGAGTTAGGGACATCCTATCATCTAATGACTAGATTTCGGGACATCCTGTCATCTAATGACTAGAATTCGGGACATCCTGTCATCTAATGACTAGAATTCAGGACATCCTGTCATCTAATGACTAGAGTTCGGGACATCCTGTCATCTAATGACCGGAGTTAAGTACATGAAATACATAAACAGACTGACATATGTTTGTTGCACATCCGTCTCCTTGGATGGACAGACACACATGATGTCTCAGTGAGGTCTGTCTAACTGTCTGTCTGTTTGTTTGTCTGTGTGCGTGCGTGTGTTGGTGTATGTTATGTCTGTGTTTGCCTGCGTGCGTGCCTGCGTGGGTGTATGCATAATGCTTCTTTCCTCTAAATTAGACTGCTCATTTCCTATCATGTTATCAACAGTGTTTTTCTCGCCCTTTCATTTCTGATGTTTCAGCTCCTTGGTTTCAGCTCCTTGGTTTCAGCTCCTTGGTTTCAGCTCCTTGGTTTCAGCTCCTTGGTTTCAGCTCCTTGGTTTCAGCTCCTTGGTTTCAACTCCTTGGTTTCAGCTCCTTTGGTCAGACGAGTATCGTAGGAAAGCGAGCTTCTCAACATAACGTCCTTTGGACCTTCATTTAAAGTTTTAAAGTTTTGAGTTTTTTACTTCTCCAAAAAGTACTCAAACGGTTTTTTTGGGTTTGGATAGACCCGAAATGTGAAAATATTCCGCGTGTGACCATAGTGGCCTTATAGTTGTCTTCCTGCAATAAGAACGGGTTTATCATGTCATGGAGATGTGTGTGAAATGTTAGGTGAAGCTGTCAGGGGTCGTCGCACTTATGAGACAGTTTAGTATGATGATGATAAATGCTACCGACAGACCCTGCGACCCTTAGCTAAAACCAGTACGTGTATATACACGTAGAAACGTAGGTGAACTGAACAAAGCTGGGTGAAACTCGGCGCGGCTTTTTCAAGGCCGGCGGATTTCACGTGCGATGACCGCTACGTGGACACTGTAACGGGTAACAAAACTGCTGTGCAATGCAGAGATCTGGAATCTCTTGGCTGTAGACTTGTGGTGTTGACTTGATGTGTGACCGAACCGTTCGATTCTGATAGTTTTACTGACAGATCGTACTGACATGTAGAAATGTACCCTCGTAGTTATAAGTTGTAATGTGTACTGTTCATGGTGTGATTAAATGTATTTAATACGTTACCGGGTAGATAATAAGCGTTCCATTTAGATTTTAGTTGGCCTTAGATTTAGGAGAGTAGCTAGAATTTGTCAGTAGTTATAACTCTTTACGTAAGCAAGACCATGCATTGTTTGTGGCGTTAGAATCTGTCGACGCACCTCTAGCCCACACGTGCTCTGTGCCGTAGCGTTTTTGGCATCGGGAGACAGCGGGTGGAGTTGGCGCTGTACGGGAGTGTGGTAGTTACTCAGAGCTTATTTCATGAACGTGAAAAGGCGATTTAAAAGTTAGAAGCGGCCTGGTTTTAGAATAAGGAGCACTACCCCTCTTGAGGTATTTTACCTACCATTTAGTTTCTCGTGATAATAAAGATTGTGTAGGCTAATGACAGAAAAACGCTGCTGACAAACACACCCAAGCCCAACACTGATTGAAACACACACACAATGAAATCGAACTCTAGACATTTAGGTTCTTGACAGAAGCCTAACAATGATTATATCTGTCATTTGTTATAGTGTAGTCAGACTGCGTCGGTGTGAGTTGGTAGCTAGGCACCGACGTGGGTTGGTAGCTAGGCGCCGGTGTGGTTTGGTAGCTAGGCGCCGGTGTGGGTTGGTAGCTAGGCGCCGGTGTGGGTTGGTAGCTAGGCGCCGGTGTGGGTTGGTAGCTAGGCGCCGCTGTACATAAATATTAGATACCTGAAATACCCAGACTATCTTTAGCGCATAACGTCAAAAATGGCGCGTCGTCTGTCAGTGACAGGCTTTTTTGTATGAGACGACTTCTCTGATTGGCTGATCAAAGCATTTTCTCAATAAACGGACCAATAAAAATTTGTCTTTTATGCTGTGAGCCTTGAAAATTGTTTGTAACTGCCTCATAAAACGGAACAATTTACAACTTAAATGAAACTTCTAAGTAAACTACAAGCAGGGAAACAATTTTTTTCAACGTTTTTGCATATTTAATGAGTTTTAAAACCTTGATAAATAAGTTATACTTGCTTCAGCAAATGCAGAAATAGAGCTTTAAAACACGTTCGTTTTTAAACCCTGTTTGCACAGGTGTTTTCTACTTTGGATAATTGTGTATTTTGTACGGAAACCCAAAATTTACGATTTCAACTTGCGGCCCCCCCCCCCCCCTTTTCCACCCCTTCAAATAACACAAGGATCTCAGTTTTACTGCACAAATTCCGTTGCGAGAGCCAGAATCCTTAACTAACATATTCGAACATAACAGACGGTACGTATCGATATCGCTGGGGCGGCCATGCCAGCGTCCATGCCAACGTAGTTGCCATACTTCAGCCGGAAACACAGCACCACACAATAATTACACACACGTGGGCTGCCCTGGGGTATATGGCAGTAAAATGTCCAGTCATCATGTGTGTGGGAGTACTTGCGTGCGTGTTGGTATTATGTATGTGTGTGTATGTTTCTATAAAGGTAAAAGGTAAAATCGAGAGATGTGAACCAGCGTCATTGCACACGGTTATAAACTATAAGTGCTCTGTCACCAGTACGGACAGCTGATAAGAAATTGTCCGCCTGTGTTGCCGTCCGCACGTAACTCCGTAGCTACAGCAACGTTCCTCCATTCATCCCAGAGTGTTAACTCTAGTACCTATTACCTAGAGGCTGGATGAACCCCCGGTTTTATACACCAGCTGTGGGCTGCAGCGAGTTGCAGCTGGATTTCAAAGCGAGTCTCCTATCCACTGCGCTAACGCAGCTCCTGACTTCCGCTTTGTGTTAGTTAGTTAGTTAGTTAGTTAGTTGGGTTATCCTCATTGCACTCCGGACATGTCCATAGGTGCTCAGATCCTCCCCTCAGTATGAACCCCAACGTCTGATGGCTAATAGTACCAGTTCTATGTTGATTAACAAGTCTTCTGGCGTAGCTGGTGTGCGTCTCGTTTTTTGCTGTGCCGATCTTAATTCCCAAGTCTGCCATTCTGGCGAGTGATGTGGATTCACTGCCACCAAAGTCCTCTATTCTTCCCATTTCTCTGAGGGCATTGATAATATCAGCATGATCCATAGGCTGACCGTCGGTAGTGATAGCGGATCCAGCCAACCTGTCAGCTCTTTCATTTCCATCGACGCCTGCGTGTCCCGGAACAAAAATAAAGGTGACTCCACGAACAGTGGACTTCTGTAATGATTCAAGCCATTGTCTTCGCACTGAACCTGCCTGAACCCTCCGGATCATACTCATTGAATCACTGAGTATACACACGCGGGTGTATTTTTGTGTTTCAAGCCAGGCAAGCGCTTGTGTCACTGCCATCACCTCCATCGTCATGCTGCTGGTTGTCATGGAGAAGGCGCCGTTGGCTTCTTTGACTGTTCTGCCCGCTGAGCGTGCTGTAAATGCCCATGCGCTTCTTCTTTGGCGTATAACGGATCCGTCTGTATAGATTATTGCATCTGCTTCGTCTGAATTTTCACCGATGAGAGCGTTGACCTCTGCATTAACAGCAACAGGATTCTCTTCTCTACATCGCCTGTTAAGTGTGACAATACAGGAAAATGTACAAATAAACGCCTGAGGCACAGGTATCCATTCTGCACCAGGTATGATGTCGGTTAGGCTGCATATTTGCCTAATGACATCTTCTGCCCGACCTAGCCACGATTTCCCCCTCTTCAGTCTGTCGCCCTTTTCACTAAAAAGCGCTTGATGCAGTGGGTGTTTCTTATCAGCGCATATTTTGAGATATGTCCGAGCCCTCCACATCCTGATCCTTTGGTTCATTGTTGGAAAGTCAAGTAGATACCTCATTGCTCCACAGGATGTGTCTCTAGTACATCCCAAAATAATGCGCATGGCTTCATTTTGCACCTTTTCGAGTCGTTCAATCTGGGTAGCACTGACAGTGAGGATGGCCAGAGCGTATTCTATGGGGGAAAGGACCAGACCGTAGAATAGAAGTATTAGTAGTCTTTGCTCAATATTGGAAGCAGCCATAATCCTCATTGCAGATAGACCTTTGCGTGCTTTTGTTATCACATGGTCAACGTGTTCCCTGAATGACAAGCTGTGATCGAACCTCACCCCGAGAAACGTCATAACGTTGGTTCTGATCAATGCATTATCACGCATTTTCACTTCTGGTAAGTCCGACTTGACAATGTGATTGTTCAAAGAGAACCATGACACTGATGCCTTCGAAGGATTGACATAGGCATTGGAACCATCACACCAGGCGGCAATTCGATCGAGTTCTTTGTGCATAGTGCTGGCGATCTCCTGTCTATCACGCCCTCGTCGATAAATCAAAATGTCATCAGCAAATGACAAAGTCCTTCCCTTTCCATTCAACTGCTGCTCAGTGATCATCACCGTGTAAACGTTGAATAAGACTGGTGATAGCGGTGATCCCTGCGGCAAGCCTGGACATATCGTTTGCGGTTCGGAGGACCAGCTACCACATCTTAGTACAATCTTTCTCTGGAACAGGACCGCAGCAATCCAGCGGATCAGAATAGGATTAACTTCTAGTTTAAGCAGTAATTGCATTAAATAATCGTATGGTACTTTATTGTAGGCATCTTCTAAGTCCAACACTGCCGCACATGTCTCTTCTTTAATCTGAAATCCCTCGTACACATCGTAGGCGAAAACTGCAGCATTGAACCATGTCTCTTTATTTAACCTGTACCCTCCAAGTGTTGGTTCCGCTTTGTGTTCTATGTGTTTATATGACTTGCACTATTGCTCCACGTATACACACACACACACACGCACAGAGCTCACACGCATACATACTTACAGACATACAAACATACACACATACTCGCACGTGTATTATGTACATGTATGTAATGTAAAAGGATAAGCCTACGACTGTACATTTAAGCGCACATGAATACAAACCCAGATTTCGAGCACAGAGTCCCAATAATACATCATGGCGATGGCCACGGACCAGACAAGCCAGGTTTTCCCCGCCAGGGAGACCACAAATATTAGTATCGCTGAGAAGACGAGAACTGCCAGAGGTCCTCCGCCCATCAAAACGTAGGCGGAAGTCAGGTCTACAGTGATCAGAGTGTAGGCATGTAACTGCAGACAATTACATATGTATTCATTACTGTGATTACAGTGTAAGCGTGTAACTGTGAAACTAGACATGTGTTGATCACCGTAATTATTATGCAGGCATAAAACTGTATTCAATTACACATGTGTTAATTACCGTGATCAGTGTGTAGTTATACAACTGGCGATAATTTCGATCTGAACTGAAATCGCAGATGATCTTGTGTAGGTGAAGCGCACACCACGCTGGCACATGATGCTAGACCTTCTGAAACCGTAATAACCTGCGTAACATGTCTGCTTTAGAGTCAGGCGGCAGGATTTCACTGCATTTCCCAGATTGTGACCGTCAGCAGATGCGTGTCGTTGGTGTGCCTAATGTTTGGCCTTCACGAGCTTTAGGCCACGACACGTCAGGTGGCTTGCCAGTGCCGCTCTTCCTTCCCAGGACATTCCGTACACATTATGGGAGCTGCCCGACTCCCAGTTATACGAGACCAGCACCATCTGTTTGTTTCTGCTAACTTGTAGATACAAATATGAGGCCAGCACCATCTGTTTGTTTATGCTAACTTGTAGATACAAATTTGAGGCCAGCACCATCTGTTTGTTTTATGCTAACTTGTAGATACAAATTTGAGGCCAGCACCATCTGTTTGTTTTATGTTAACTTGTAGATACAAAAATGAGAAAAGCACCATTTGTTTGCTTTATGCTAACTTGTAGACACAAATCTGAGGCCAGCACCATATGTTTGTTTTATGCTAACTTGTAGACACAAATATGAGACCAGCACCATATGTTTGTTTTATGCTAGCTTGTAAATACAAATCTGAGGCCAGCACCATCTGTTTGTTTTATGTTAACTTGTAGATACAAATATGAGAACAGCACCATTTGTTTGTTTTATGCTAACTTGTAGACACAAATATGAGACCAGCACCATATGTTTGTTTTATGCTAGCTTGTAAATACAAATCTGAGGCCAGCACCATTTGTTTATTTTATGCTAACTTGTAGATACAAATATGAGAACAGCACCATCTGAAGCCCAGTTAGTCGCCTAAATCAAATGTACCAACCTGTGGCCTGACCTTGCAGTAAAAACATATCTGTGACGTCATGACATGCGCAATTGTGGCTAGAATCTTTTCAGTGTGCCTGCTTTTAAACAGCTGGATCTCATTGTCGGACTGATCCTGAAAGAGGCGACGGTTGAATGTGAATTAATCACTGGGATCAGCCACAGCGAAACACAGACTTGATCATGTGAAAGGTGTTTCATATAACTCGCAGACAAGTAGGATTACAGACACAGACTTGATCATGGGAAAGGTGTTTCATATAACTCGCAGACAAGTAGGATTACAGACACAGACTTGATCATGGGAAAGGTGTTTCATATAAATTGCAGACAAGTAGGATCAAAGATACAGACGTGATTATGGGAAAGGTGTTCCATATAACTAGCAGACAAGTAGGATCACAGACACCGAGATGACAATAGTCAATAATCCAGTTTATAATATTATCTCAGAGTAAAATTATCGTAATCAATAATAATTACAAACTGCCATCATGAGGGCCAACAGACTGCAATGGTTGCCGCACATAGAGAGCCTGACAGCTGAAAGAGAGAGAAAGATTACAATAGTTGCCGCACATAGAGAGCCTGACAGCTTAAAGAGAGAGAAAGATTGCAATAGTTGCCGCACATAGAGAGTCTGACAGCTTAAAGAGAGAGAAAGATTGCAATAGTTGCCGCATATAGAGAGCCTGACAGCTGAAAGAGAGAGAAAGATTGCAATAGTTGCCGCATATAGAGAGCCTGACAGCTTAAAGAGAGAGAAAGATTGCAATAGTTGCCGCACATAGATAGCATAACAGCTCACAGAGAGAGAAAGATAGCGTACATTGAAAAGTCGAATGGTAACAGATCATGAAGCCGACCACAAATACGATGGAGAGGTAAAATAATGTAGACCTCAAACACTCACCGTGGTGTAGGGGCTAGATGCTCGCCCGGGCCCCGGAGATTGTAGGTTCAAATCCGCATTGAGACGAATATTTTCAAAAATGACATTAGCTGCCATGTCAACCTAACCTAAAATCTGGACTAGTTAAAGTCATGGGAAGTAAAGGTGGTCGGCGTGATGTTGACCACATTACCCACATAGTGCCGATCGGTCTATGCAGTAAAAAGCTAGCACTATATACACAAAGCGCGTGAAGGAGCGGAGAAGTGTCATTTGCTATAAACATACAGAGTCATTAACGGGAAAGAGAAAGTCCGTCTGTAGCAATAAATCACAATTCCCGGGAACGCAGAATCAAAATAGCAATAGTAATGGTTGAAATAATAGTGATAGTGGTAGGAGCAGTCGTCTCAAGTCAAGTATGACTGAGAGATGAACCTCCCTTTGAGCAGGTAGCCTTCAGTCACAGTGTGGTGTCGCTTTGGATAAGATATTTTCATTGTTTATTTATCGTTCTTGCAGAAATAGTCTTGTTTCACCAAGATTAAAGCGGTTCTATAGAGATCATAATCATGTGTGATTGTTTTCGGGGCGGTTCTCCTAACAATTATATATCTCACCTATACGATCTTTGATTAGTCGCTGTAAATTCTAATTTTCCCAGTTAGCAGCTGCCCCCCCCCCCCTCCTCCATCCACCCCCACGTTTGTCCCTTTAATTGTTGTATAGAGTGTTGGTTAACGCGCTATGACATTGACAGTTGCCGAAGACACAACAATTTGTCGATGTACTAAATCATTCAATACCAATAGCGAAGTCCCTGTTGATGTTCATGTCCGCGCTCAGTGCAGACATTTCTACAGAGTCTATTCGACTAGTTACGACCACTCAGTGCAGACATTTCTACAGAGTCTATTCGACTAGTTACGACCACTCAGTGCAGACATTTCTACAGAGTCTATTCGACTAGTTACGACCACTCAGTGCAGACATTTCTACAGAGTCTATTCGACTAGTTACGACCACTCAGTGCAGACATTTCTACAGAGTCTATTCGACTAGTTACGACCACTCAGTGCAGACATTTCTACAGAGTCTATTCGACTAGTTACGACCACTCAGTGCAGACATTTCTACAGAGTCTATTAGACTAGTTACGACCACTCAGTGCAGACATTTCTACAGTCTATTCGATTAGTTACGGCCACTCAGTGCAGACGTTTCTACAGAGTCTATTTGACTAGTTACGGCCACTCAGTGCAGACATTTCTACAGAGTCTATTAGACTAGTTACGACCACTCAGTGCAGACATTTCTACAGTCTATTCGATTAGTTACGGCCACTCAGTGCAGACGTTTCTACAGAGTTTATTTGACTAGTTACGGCCACTCAGCGCAGACATTTCTACAGAGTCTATTCGACTAGTTCGACCACTCAGTGCAGACATTTCTACAGTCTATTCGATTAGTTACGGCCACTCAGTGCAGACATTTCTACAGAGTCTATTCGACTAGTTACGACCACTCAGTGCAGACATTTCTACAGAGTCTATTCGACTAGTTACGACCACTCAGTGCAGACATTTCTACAGAGTCTATTCGACTAGTTACGACCACTCAGTGCAGACATTTCTACAGAGTCTATTAGACTAGTTACGACCACTCAGTGCAGACATTTCTACAGTCTATTCGATTAGTTACGGCCACTCAGTGCAGACGTTTCTACAGAGTCTATTTGACTAGTTACGGCCACTCAGTGCAGACATTTCTACAGAGTCTATTCGACTAGTTACGACCACTCAGTGCAGACATTTCTACAGTCTATTCGATTAGTTACGGCCACCCAGTGCAGACATTTCTACAGAGTCTATTCGACTAGTTAAGACCACTCAGTGCAGACATTTCTACAGAGTCTATTCGACTAGTTACGACCACTCAGTGCAGACATTTCTACAGTCTATTCGACTAGTTACGGCCACTCAGTGCAGACATTTCTACAGTCTATTCGACTAGTTACGGCCACTCAGTGCAGACATTTCTACAGAGTCTATTCGACTAGTTACGACCACTCAGTGCAGACATTTCTACAGTCTATTCGATTAGTTACGGCCACTCAGTGCAGACGTTTCTACAGAGTCTATTTGACTAGTTACGGCCACTCAGTGCAGACATTTCTATAGTCTATTCGATTAGTTACGGCCACTCAGTGCAGACGTTTCTACAGAGTCTATTCGACTAGTTACGGCCACTCAGTGCAGACATTTCTACAGTCTATTCGACTAGTTACGGCCACTCAGTGCAGACATTTCTACAGTCTATTCGACTAGTTACGGCCACTCAGTGCAGACATTTCTACAGTCTATTCGATTAGTTACGGCCACTCAGTGGATACGTTTCTACAGAGTCTATTTGACTAGTTACGGCCACTCAGTGCAGACATTTCTACAGTCTATTCGACTAGTTACGACCACTCAGTGCAGACATTTCTACAGAGTCTATTCGACTAGTTACGACCACTCAGTGCAGACGTTTTTACAGAGTCTTTTTGACTAGTTACGACCACTCAGTGCAGACATTTCTTCAGAGTCTATTCGACTAGTTACGACCACTCAGTGCAGACGTTTTTACAGAGTCTATTCGACTAGTTACGACCACTCAGTGCAGAAATTTTTACAGAGTCTATTCGACTAGTTACGGCCAAACAGTCACATAACCAGCAGTACACCCTTATGCTGGTTGACTTGCCCACATGTTGTACACCCCAGTGCTAATTGATTTGCCCATATGTTGTACACCCTTATGCTGGTTGACTTGCCCATATGTTGTACACCCCAATGCTAATTGATTTGCCCACATGTTGTACACCCCTATGCTGGTTGACTTGCCCACATGTTGTACACCCCTATTCTGGTTGACTTGCCCACATGTTGTACACCCCTTATGCTGGTTGACTTGCCCACATGTTGTACACCCCTATGCAAATTAACGAGTTTTAAATATGGACTCTTCTTCCATTTATATACAGTACTTTTTTTTTTGGGTAAGTATGGGTTCAGATGTCGGTAAAAGAAATCTGTTCGGTCCTAATTCTATTCTGTTCTGGTTGTTCATCCACTTCTTGACTCAAGTCCTGTTCCAGAACCTGAGTGTTGCGTGTAAATCCGTTTGACAGGTCTGACTCATTTGCATGCCCAGTGTTGGTTCCTGCCTTTCAGGCAGAGGTACTCTGACTTTAAAGGAGGCTCTCAGTTAGTAGACTTTTACGACATGCTTTCGGGCAGGCAGTGGGTCTTTTCTTGTTTTCCCCCACAATGGGGCTCCGGAACCCACACGGAATTATGCTGCTGGGAGTGAGAACAGTATAAGTGGGGTAAGTGATTTAAAAGCGTAGCGAAGCTAAAGTCTATAGCCGAACCACAGCCGTTCTGGCGAAATGAATCTTTCCTCTTCCAGTTCGGGAGACTTTGACTTTTTGGCGTCATTACTGATACAGATTCCATAGCCAGCGAACCTCATAACGTTTCGTTCTGTCATATTACTGAAATATCTTATCTGGAAGTCACCGTTTCACCCAGGAATTTCAAATAAATATGGGTAAGTTAAACTTTACTTAACTTAAAGTTATTTTTCCAGCTGCCGGGAGTAAGACCAGTGTAGATGGGGGAAACTGGCTCAAACAGCCACTTATGGACTTAAACTGGAGGAACGCTCCGACTGGAGAGAGTTCCCTACATTCCAACATCATATGTCCTCTTATATTCAATAATAGACTGCTCCTACTCCTCGGGGATACTGGTCCTCTTTCTTTGATTTTATGCTAAAAAAAACTAATGGTGGCCAGATTTTGGAGATATTCAGGAAAATGGTTGACCTAGAAAGCCATTGACTCGTTTCGTGCACTCAGACCCAGGGTTAGATTTTTGTAAACAAGGAGAACTGCTTCTGGTCTGGCATCGCAGACAGGTAAACACTTATTCAGGGTGGAGAAATCCAATTTGTATGTTGCTTTGTCCTACTTAAATATTCCATGTTCCTTTGAATGCCTGTATTAGGTAAGCACTCTTTAATGGAAGGAATAGGGTTGATTCGATTCCTCTGGTTGGCAAACGCTGTTTTCACGGGAAGAAGTTGCCGGAGAACTGTTTAAGCTTACTGGGATGAAGATTAGGTTCCTGGGGTTAAAAACTCAAACAAGTCTATTCTTCTCCAAGAGGGCTGACCACTGATAAATGAGTGGGGGGAAAATGGAGATGGATGGTGAGGTTAATACCGAGGCATATATTTCGACAGCTGATTAACCCATATTCTTATTGTACTGTTTCCTCAGAATTTATAAGCTCTGATCCAAAGGGTTTAGCTGGAATCGATGTCAGGACTACAGGCAAAGAGTTCCACCCAAAGTGTTGCAGGTCTCAGTCCTAACCTCACCTGAGTCTGGTTTGGTAGTCTGGTAGTCTTAGTTTCAGCTTCATAGCAAACGGGTCACCCCATCTTTGCTCCGCTCCTGTGCCAACGAAAAACACACAGAATGTTTATCACAGTATTAGAATTGCAGTTCATCATTGATGGTAGCAGAAGTCACCAACAGATCAGCAGTTGCCCACGCGATCAATTTTCATCACATACGGGCACCACAACACTGCACGGCAGGCATCGCGCCATTTTCTGAATCTACAATTCACACCAGCACGTTGGTCATAGTCGAAAAAACATTCCCAATGCAATCCGCAGCTCACAGGGTCACGCCATGCATTCAACTCAGAAGCTGGGCGACGAAACTATCTTCACCTGAGTAAAGACACCCATCCCACCAGTGCTCAGTCATATCTACCAGGTACCCTGACTCACTATTTCCACTAACTTAAATCCTATGTGACCTGATGGCTCACATTCTATGAGAACAGCTGCAGACCCCACTTGATCAACTGCTGTGACCAGCCTGAAGGTTTGCCACACCAGACCAACCACCTGCCAGTGCCTGACCTGTGAGACTGTTTATGTCAGTGCCTAACCTGTGAGACTGTTTATGTCTGTGCCTAACCTGTGAGGCTGTTTATGTCTGTGCTTAAGCCTGGATTCTAGAGAGACAATGACTATGACCACAACTTTCTGTTGTTTAATCCTGTCCTAATCTTGACCACTGAGAATAAGTACAGGAGGCCAGAAAGTACAGCCAATTCTGGCCTGAGCTTACTATGCCTTTTGTTTATCTTCAGAGCAGGGATGATATCCATCAGTGCATTTAAGTCAGGTCTGTAGTCATTTCTGACTGGACATTGTAAATGCCATACTATTATATTGTTCTGTCTTTTGAGCAGTCTAAAGTTTGTTGAAATGTAATACATCATGCATTGTTATTTTGGATTCCTCTTTATTGTTTTAAAGTATTTCACTGTTTTATTTATTTAGATCATTCTGAGTATATTGTTAAATCTTCAGATTTCTTTCAAAACTGTGTTTATTCTAAATATGAGAGTGATCCTATCCAGTCTAGGGGCAAACAAATGGTGAGGACGTCTGGCCAAGTTGTGCCCAGGAATAGTATTAATTTTGTGGTAAGTGTATTCGACTAGTTACGGTGTAACAGAGTGTATTCAACTAGTTACGGTCTAACTGAAAGCATGTATTCAGCTAGTTACGATCTAACCAACATAGTGTATTCATCTAGTTACGATCTAACTTATAGAGTGTATTCGACTAGTTACTGTCTAACTGATAGCATGTATTCGGCTATTTACTATCAAACCAACATAGTGTATTCAACTAGTAACGGCCTAACTAACAGAGTGTATTCAACTAGTTGCGGTCTAACTAACAGAGTGTATTCAACTAGTTGCGGTCTAACAAACAGAGTGTATTCGGCTAGTTATGATCTGAAAAACAGAGTGTATTCGGCTAGTTATGATCTGAAAAACAGAGTGTATTCATCTAGTTGCGGTCTAAACTAACAGAGTGTGTTCGACTAGTTGCGGTCTAAACTAACAGAGTGTGTTCGACTAGTTACGGTCTAAACTAACAGAGTGTATTCGGTTAGTTGCGGTCTAAACTTATAGAGTGTATTCGGCTAGTTGCGGTCTAAACTAACAGAGTGTATTCGGCTAGTTGCGGTCTAAACTAACAGAGTGTATTCGGCTAGTTGCGGTCTAAACTAACAGAGTGTATTCGGTTAGTTGCGGTCTAAACTAACAGAGTGTATTTGGCTAGTTACTGTCTAACTAACAGAGTGTGTTCGACTAGTTAGTGTCTGACTAACAGAGTGTGTTCGACTAGTTACTGTCTAACTAACAGAGTGTATTCGGCTAGCTACGGTCTAGCAAACAGAGTGTATTCAACTAGTTACGGTTGAACTAACAGTGTTGGTCCATGACTAGACGAGATGGTTGAGCAACAGCACCACTCACCTGGTACCTGCCAAGCCAAGTCCATCCCGGTGACAATTGTTTGAGCATGGATTTGGCGTTCTCTAAAAGAAAAAAATAAACAATGACGGTTTGGTTTTATTTTACATTGGGTTTGATAGTTGGGGCCTGTGGGAAATAAAAAGCAGAAATGAGAGGAAACAGTCCGGATATAGATTCCACTGAAAGATGAAGGCACTGTTAGCAAAGGCAGAGTGAATTGTCATTTCAGAAATTAAATTATGTATGTTCCTTGTTATAATGGTCATTCTTTAGTTCTTGGCCTACAGGAGTGCTAGGAAATGAATATGAAGTCGGATTAGCTGGTTCTGCACCAATGAGTGGTGACTTTATGCATGCTACGCTAGATGGGTCAAGACCCTTTGGGAGCAAGTAGGCAATGCAGAAACAGGAATCGAGCATTGTGGTCTGGAGAGAATGGCACAGCTGTGAGTGACCAGGGAATCTGCTTGACGCTTTACACTCAGGGAAGAGAATGACACAGCTGTGAGTGACCAGGGGATCTGCTAAGCGCTTTACACCCAGGAAAGAGAATGGCACAGCTGTGGGTGACTAGGGGATCTGCTCGACGCTTTACACTAGGAAAGAGAATGGCACAGCTGTGGGTGACTAGGGAATCTGCTCGACGCTTTACACTCAGGGAAGAGAATGGAACAGCTGTGAGTGACCAGCGGATCTGCTCGACGCTTTACACTCGGGGAAGAGAATGGCACATCTGTGAGTGACCAGCGGATCTGCTCGACGCTTTACACTCGGGGAAGAGAATGGCACAGCTGTGAGTGACCAGCGTATCTGCTCGACGCTTTACACTCAGGGAAGAGAATGGCACAGCTGTGAGTGACCAGGGAATCTGCTCGACGCTTTACACTCAGGTACGTACATGTGATCAAACTGCTATTGGCACCATCAAAACTCTTCTCTGTCGGAGCGTTTATGTGAATGTCCCCAATGCCAGTTGTTAGCTCGATACTCAACACGCTAAAGCCCGTTCGCTTAGGGCAGCGTTTAAACTAAGTTGTGTATATAAAGAAGTAGACGTTGAACTGAGTCGTCACCCTTTAAGTCCAAGGCGGGTCCCAAGTCATAGCCACTAAGTCCAAGTTGAGTCTCAAGTCATAGCCACAAAGTCCCTAGTCGTTTCTGGTCATAGCCACCAAGTCCCAAGTCAAGTCTCAAGTCAGCAAGAATGCTTCCAAGTCTAGCGCCGAGTCAAGTCACTTCATGTATACAGTCACTTGCAGGCCCTGCATGCGACAATGGTTATGGATTTAGCTAATTAGTCTGTCAGAATATCCACACGACAATCAACTGTTAAATTTTGATTTTGTATTTAAATAGCTGAACTGAGTGCATACAACTGCATGTGCATGTTATTGTTAGTTTATTAAATTTGCAGAAAACTGAACAGTTGTCTCATTATATTATTATTATATTACTCTTTAATATTCAAACTCCACCAAGTCGCGAAACTACGGTACTATTCACGAAATTCACCCTTCTGGTTTAGCTGCAAGATTTCGCGGAGTTTTCTATGGGCTGTCCAATGTTCTAGGGATGTTTGTGTTGAGCACACCCACCACCGACGAGAGCCACTGCCAGCGTAAAAATACAAAAACATCGTTGCCTGGAAACTTGCCAACACGTCGCGGCTTCAGCATCCCCCCCCCCCCACTTCCCTCCACCCCCGATGCACTACCTCTTACTTGCACACAAGCGACTGCGGCGCCTGAACTACTCATACAAACACAAGTCGTTTTGCGATGTGTGAGTATTTGTGCACGTATATTGTAAGGTATGTATTTGTCGTCCATGTCTTAGTATCTTACTTTACATTCATTCGATGAATTTTGTTATGTGATCATTATACGCTTGATAAATCTTGTTTTTCAGAAATTTTCATCAGAAAGATAAACGCTTCAAAGGACCTATTGTAAGGTTGGCCGGGGTGCCCCACTTGTAACTTTTTGGAAAGAAAGTTTTTGTTTGTTTGTTGTGTTGATTTTTCTATTCCAGATTTCGTGGTTTACCTCTTGCTCAGCTCTTGTCAACATTTGCTTCCAATTATGCCTCACTTGTAGTATAGACATAATGAAAGAGGGAGGAGGAGAGAAAGGAAGATATAGACAGAGAGGGATAGTGGGAAAGATATAAGGTAGATAGAGAGGGGATGTAGGGAGGGAGAAAAGAAAGGCTGAGAGCGAAACTAAACGAATGGAGTTTAGATAATGAAAATATTAATTTAAATACATGCTAATTATTCATAAAACATTGATCAGTGGTTTTCTTCTTCTAACCGGTCACCTGCTCTACACTCCGGTGAAAAGTTTTGGTTGTTCGTCCATTTCTGGACTAGCAAGACACATCTGGACTGTGGTTTTATTTTAGAATCTGAAGTGTGCGTACACATCCGTTTTCTAAATCTGGCGTATTGGTCTGCAGACTGTTGGTTCCTCATTCTTATTCAATTCCCCTCAGACTTCCAGGGAAAGGCCCAAATTAGTCGACGTGTTCGACGAGGATTGTGCAAAGGGTCTATTCTCTCCCCCGCTTCCTCTCCAGCCACACCTCCCCCCCCCCCTCCCCCTCTTCCCTCCTTTCCAGAATAAAGCCTGGGAACCAACAAGGGGAATTATCATTCCAATTCTAAAATATATTTGACTCTCAAGGCATCTGCAGGGATAGTTTGACCTAAATATCACCAACTTGCGGTTGTCTCTGGCTTGATTTGACCAGCTGAGTCAACACTCTATACCTGAGAAAGGTTGCAGCAACAATAACGATGACAAGAGAACTTTGCAACTCACTGTCTCCTTCTAAGAACAGAGCATAGACTGAGTAGGCCATGCCCGACAGACCCACTATCCAGTAAGTGTACCTCTCCCACCTGGGCAGAACGTCGACAACCATTGTGACAAGCAGTGACAGGGCAACCTGTTCTTGTCTTTGGCACTGTAACAACACCACGGAACTGCACACGGATGACACGGTTTTCTGTAACTGCACAATGAGATACACAGCTCTTTGTTTTGAAGAGTTGTTTTGTCAAGAGTATCTGGTAATGAAATAACAAACAGATTTCAGGCTTGATTGCGAAGTGACAGGGAAATTAAACCGACAAAATTACCTCAAACGAATAATATACTAAGGAAGATGGGAGCAACTTCGAAAGCTTTTTTTTTTGTGTGTGTGAATGGATCAAGAAAGGACAGCAAGTAATGAATTTACGTACAATCAAAGCCGCAAAAAAGCGACAAGGTTTGGAAAAATGAGATTTGAGCAGACAAAGGAAGAAATTTGTACATTTTTATGTTTAGAGAAGTCTAAGATAGTAACAGAGATAGGAGGGAATTCTATATTGCATGATTTAACTGACATGAAGAGTAATCTTGAAAGTTATTTTATCAGATTGTATTGCCCAGTTTCGTCTTTGATTATAAAAGATATGTATATTCTCCGTCCTCTACTTCATCTTTGTCGTGTTTCCTAATAGAAACTCTGTGGAGGGGCAAGCACAACAGGAGCATTTGTATCGTCAGCAAATGCTCCCTTCTTTGAATGTTGCCGTCCCATACCCTTCTTATTCTCCTGGCGTCTAGTTCATCGATTTCTCCTCTACACTGCATATCTGGTCACTGCTCCTAAGTGCAACTGGAGGTCTTATCTCCCCCTTGCCCGATCCACCGTCCCTAAGATTTGACCAATGGAGCTCCTGCCGCCTCACCTGCCACAGCACTCCCAAGGCGGAGAACTTGTCTAAAAGACTCCTTCCACTCGACCCCACGCCACGCCTTGACTCGCGGTTACAATTTTAACTAGTGTCAGTTCCCTCAAATACCAAACATGACCGTTGAAGCTACCGCATCTAGCAACCTCAATCGGATGGTAGCGTCTATACTGGGAAACACTATTTTAACCTATACACTATCACGGCTCCTACGTTAGTAATTGTAATTAATTATAGTTAATACTTATTTATTTCAATATTTCCACCATCCAAAAATGCCCTATGAACAGTGAAACTTAAATTATACAGTAACGCTTATGTATTTTTGTTTAAATTCTCAGCTGGGGGATTAAACCATGGACGTTCTGCGTGCTGTCGGAAGTAATAATCACTGCACTACAGAATCATTTAATCTACTGACAGATACTTGTACTGCGTGTCGTATAGTCACATAATTTCTAAAGGCTGCAGACATGTGGTTTTACAGAAGAATCCTTACAATTCTGTGGACAGCCAAGTGAGAGCTAATCAGAATAGTGTTGTGTGCTAAACTCACTTTGCTATTCAATAGTACCGGACGTCAGAAGCATCATCGTTTGCGCGCTCGTGAAATCACTAGATGATGATGATGATGGTTGAGGCGAGTGCAAAAGGTCATCGCCGTGAACGAAGTGCATCGTGTCTTGAGACCCTTGTTTTTACATGATTGCATATACTGGCACACATATAGGCCGATCCATCCATCCTTTATACTTTCCATCCATCCACGAGTATAGCCATCCATCATTCCGTCTATTTGTCTACCTGTCATGTATCCCACCACCCACTCATCCATTCACCCCACCATCCACGATCTATCTATCTATCTATCTATCTATCTATCTATCTATCTATCTATCTATCTATCTATCTATCTATCTATCTATCTATCTATCTATCTATCTATCTATCTATCTATCTATCTATCTATCTATCTATCTATCTATCTATCTATCTATCTATCTATCTATCTATCTATCTATCTATCTATCTATCTATCTATCTATCTATCTATCTATCTATCTATCTACCTACCTACCTACCTACCTACCTACCTACCTACCTACCTACCTACCTACCTACCTACCTACCTACCTATCTATCTATCTATCTATCTATCTATCTATCTATCTATCTATCTATCTATCTATCTATCTATCTATCTATCTATCTATCTATCTATCTATCTATCTATCTATCTATCTATCTATCTATCTATCTATCTATCTATCTATCTATCTATCTATCTATCTATCTATCTATCTATCTATCTATCTATCTATCTATCTATCTATCTATCTATCTATCTATCTATCTATCTATCTATCTATCAGCATGCCTGTCTGCCGGCCTACCTGCCTGTCTGTTGGTATTTGTTCACTAGCACAGGCACCACTTTTATTCCATGCGGATGGACCAGTGTCATCCCCACAACCCAACCCTGGTTACGCCTTATTGGCCAACCCCTCCCTTCCTCTTTAGACACTCAGTGTGAGCTATTGTGTCTGTGGGCGTCTACTCTGCCCATTTCCTAGGTATTCAGACCCCGTTTTTCGCTCCCCGTCCACGCGTTAGTGATATATAAGCTAGTATCTGTCCTTGACATCTTCTTGAACAACGTTTTTCGCCAGGGACACAGATGAGTATCATTTATTTTGTACATTAGAGTCCTATGTAGTCACTTCATAGTTAGAGCATATTTGTGTATGTGTACTGTGTTGTTCTTTATGTGCTGATGAAGGCTAATCGCCGCAACGTCCTCTGTTTGTTTATTGTGATCGATTTTGTAAAGCTAACATAAACTGTTTGTTCTTTCTTACCAACTTGTTCTCTTCCCTATAATCTCCTACCCTTTTAAAAACGAAGTTGGGATAGAGGTGTTTCTGGAGTTTCACGGCTAACAGTGGTTTGCGCGCATCTGGCGGGACTCATGTGTGACCTGACGCTGAGCTGGAAGGAATCTCTAGTTGTCCAATCTGTGCCCCTCAGTCTGTGATAGAGCTCGGACGTGTGTGATTTTTTAGTTGTAATCATGTGTATTATTTTCCACTGGAGAAAGCCTAGAATGTCGTTAGAATGTGGTGTATAATTCGCAATGCTTGAGTTGAGTGTGTTTAATGGAGACAATGCGTTGGGAGCCCAATATCTCTTTTTGATCTAACTGTTCCAGATCGCACTCAAGGCTGATTGTGACCGGGGGTCGGGAGGCGTAGTGTCGTGGGCATAGCCAGCCTCTATTAAGCTATTATGAATAGGTTATTGGTAACCCAAAGTGAGGGCACATAACCGAGGCGTCCCTGGTGACTCCAGGAGATGTCCCGCAGGCTGAAAGGTGTTATTCTTGGGGAGCCATGGCAAGTCGGGAGTAGGTGTCGCCCTTTGAGACGATACCGCCCTGGAAGATTGCTAATGGGAATCGGAGAACATTGAACGGACAGTAGTTCTGTAATCACCAATTCAACATTGTCGTCATACTGTGTTTGTCAATAAATAGACTCGTGCACGATTATAGAAATGGCTTCATGTGGCTCCTTCCTATAAGAGCGAAAGGCGTGTTGCTTTGACTGGTATGGGTGTTAGCTGTACGATGTGACTATGTGAACTGTGTTAGTTAGGCACTCTCAGGAAACCCAATTAGTCGCTAGAAGGTCGACTTGGTAACCTTAATATAGTTTGGGATGAAGTTTTAATAATTCACATCTAGACACTTGACAAGAAGTCGGCGCCGTACAAGCATTCGCTTTGCATCAAATAGTATAGAAGATAATTTATTGTAGTAATCATGTCAATATGGTAAAAAAACTAAAGTAAAGATCCCTTTTCACGCCCCTAGGTGTGCCCAGTTTATGGAAAGAGAGCCCATATTTCTGCAACAGGTGGGTAATGTGGTCAGTATGGGGCTAAGTACAACATGTTTAGGCGACCTGAACAATGTGGCCAGAATGACATCTGCAAATGTCGCCCCTGCTGGTCATTGTTTGGGAGGTATAAAATAACGAATAGTTTCCCCGCCCTAAAGCTCCTAGAGCCACACTCCTTTCCATGTCCTCAATTTAGAGGATCATAAAAGGGGATGAGAGAGTGTAGGGGTAAGAGCCGACTTTGAGAAACTCCAGTCTAATGTGGCTCCTTCTTCTGAGAGCGAAAGTCGGACAGAAAAAGACTAATAGTATTTTCAAGGGAAGTACAAAATATTTGGTTTCACGAGAAATAATTGCAGTGAATGTTAACTTTCCCTTATTCTAGCGTTATTTAGTAGAAATACAAAGAAACCTTGCTCGAACATGGCACATTGATGAACCCATGGAACAAAATCAAGAGGTCGTGTTGAAGACACTCTTGCAAACTTGGATCTGATATATGTATTACAACAATACATCACTACTGGGAGCCCAATTTTGTTCATGTTAACATAACTATCTAATTCGTATTAGCGAGGGTTTTCTCTCTCTAAAAGGAGAGGAAGAAAACTGAGAAGGAAAAAAAGGAAAATAAAAAAGAAGAAGAGGACGCAAACGAGAAAGTGATGGTGGTGGAGGAGGGTTTGTTAAGGAGAAAATAGTGGAGGAGGGTTTGTACAGGAGAACATAGTGGAGGAGGGTTTGTTAAGGAGAACATAGTGGAGGAGGGTTTGTACAGGAGAACATAGTGGAGGAGGGTTTGTACAGGAGAACATAGTGGAGGAGGGTTTGTACAGGAGAACATAGTGGAGGAGGGTTTGTACAGGAGAACATAGTGGAGGAGGCGATGAAGAAACAGAGGGATATACAGTGGTACAGCACACTGTAACAATTCTAGAAACAATTCACTGTAACAACTTCAGCGTAAAGTTCACTGTAACAATTCAAGTGTACATTTCAATGTAACAACTCCAGTGTTAAATTTCGTGTAACATGAGAGTTACAGTTCACTGTAACAATTCAAGTGTTCATTTCAATGTAACAACTCCAGTGTACAATTTCCTGTAACATCAGAGTTACAGTTCACTGTAACAATTCAAGTGTATAATGAAATATAGGCAGAAAGGGGTTAAATGAACAAAGCATACATTTCAGACCACCACACGGCGTACTAATCCATCCCTGTGGGAAATGACAGAAATGGGTGATTAGAAAGCCATGGCCTAGCCAACTATGCAGAACAT